ATACTTTGGAAAGCTCTTCATAGCAGTATAAATTAGTGCTTGGGAGGAGGGTATTTGTCCAAGGGTCCTTGCTGCCCTCACTTGCTCTTGGTGGTCCCTATGGGGTTCTGGACACTGTGGAAGGTAAGCATTAGAGACCCCCTGACTTCTGGTCATTGGAGCCCTTGGCCTCAGGCCTGGTAGGCTAAGCGGCCGAGCTGGGCTTTGAGGTAGGGAGGCCTTGGCTTTGCCCAGAGGCTCAGGGGTCCCTAGGTTCCTGCTGGAGGCTAGAAAGCAGGCAGTTGTTTCTGTTCTTTTTCTCGTCCATCTTAGGAGGGTCCTCAGGCCTGCGCGCCAAAGCCTGAAGGATTCTGCCTCTGCCAGCGCCATAGATCCTCACCTGCAGTAGGACGGGGTTGGGGGTTGGTCAGGGCTTACGATGGAATGCAGCCGCCCTTGGGCACGCTAACAGCTGATGATTATCCCCTTCTGAGCCTCGAACTCTGTCCCAGGGGTCAGGGCTTGAGCAGTACTCACACATCCTGTCCAGCCCTAAGGCTGCTGTCCAGCCCAGCTCCTCACGGGCCAGGCTAGGGTTGGCATAGCAGGCAGCCACGTCACCTTCCCGCCGTGCAACCACCTTGTATGGGATCTGCAAGAGGAGATGGTCGGAGCTTAGCTGAGCCAGCTCTGGGCCCCACCCACCCAGCTGCTGGCCAGGTCCTCAAGAAAGGAGAGTGCAGAGCAAGGTCTTGCTCAGTCACCTGATGCTAAGGGGCAAGGTGGAGCCAAGTAAACAGGGCAGGCTGGTGGGTGCCCAGGCTTTTCTCTTAGTGCTGGCTGGGGTGGGCCGGGGGGCTTACCTTCTTCCCAGAGGCCTTCTCCATAGCATGGACCATCTGCAGCACCGAGTAGCCTGTGCCCGTGCCCAGGTTGTAGATCTGCTCAGGAGAGGAGGCCAGGGTTTGTGGAAGGCCCCCTCTGCCCAGGCCTAGGCCCTCCTTCCCTCCCTCTCTCTTCTTTCCCTACCCGGCAGCCACACTGCTCCTTCAGCTTTCTCAAGGCTGCAATGTGACCCTTGGCCAGATCCACGACATGGATATAATCCCGGACGCCTACAGGGAGGAGGTGGGAGTCAGAGGGGTTCAGTACAGCCTCTGCCCCACCTCAGTCTCTACTCCTGGGTCCTCCTGGTCCTGGGCTTACCTGTGCCATCCTCTGTGTCATAGTCATTGCCGAAGACATTCACGGCCTCTCGTCGCCCGATTGCCACCTGGTGGTGGAGATCAGGTTGGCTCCTCCCAGGCTCCCAGCGCCAGCTGCACCCCACAACCCTAGGGCCACCCCCTCTCAGTCCCTACCCTTTTCCCCTACCTGGGAGACATAAGGCATGAGGTTGTTTGGGATGCCCTGGGGATCTTCGCCGATACAGCCTGAAGTGTGAGCACCCGTGGGGTTGAAGTACCGCAGCAGCACTGCATTCCAGGCCTGTGGGCACAGGGATCAGACAATGGGGGCACGCGGGCAGCATGTCCCAGCTGAATCCAGCACCCCCCACCCTCACCCCCACCTGTTCTCCGTCTCTAGAAATGCACAGGGGACAGGACCCTGCCATCAGCCTTGTAACCTTGAGCAAGGCACCACTCCTTTCTGAGCCTTCACTTTTTCCTTGGTGGGGCTTGCCCAGGAGTCCACCCCTCAGGCTGTGGGATGGCTGTGAGAAGTCTGTGAGTGGAGCATGGCTGAGTCAAGGGGAGTCCTCACCTTGTCTGCCCGGCACAGGTCCTGGATCATCTCCTCAATGAAGAACTTGGACTTGCCGTAGGGGTTGGTACAGCCACCCGTGGGGTGCGCCTCATCCAGAGGCAGGTACTGGGGATTCCCGTACACGGTGGCTGAGCTGCTGAACACCAGGTTCTTCACCCCGTGGGCCCTCATGATCTGACCGTGGAGGGGAGGAGTCAGCGGCCTCTGCCTCACATGTTATCCCCACCCTGGTACTCCCTCCAGGAGCCCTGGTGGCACAGTGGTTAAGCACTTGGTTGCTAACTGAAAGGTCAGCAGTTTGAACCCACCAGCCGCTCTGCGGGAGAAAGATGTGGCAGTCTGCGTCCGTAAAGATTTACGGCCTTGGAAACCTTATGGGGCAGTTCTACTCTGCCCTATAGGATTGCTATGAGTCAGAATTGACTTAACGGCAGAGGGTAATGGGGCACTCCCTCCATAGGAGGGTGAAGCTGAGCTTACAGGCGCTCCCACTGACAGAGGTGAAGATGTTCAGGGCCTAGATAGGTCAACCGGGACTGTGTCCATGATGACTCTAGCACTAGGCCCTTAGCCACTGTGTTTGGCACTGCTTGCCAGACTGAGGCCCTCCCAGTGTCTGTGTGTCTGTCCTAGGCCTCTCACCTCCAGAAGCTGGATGCTCCCTGTCAGGTTGACTCGGTAATAATCCAGAGGTTTCTGTACTGACTCGCCGACAGCCTTGAGCCCTGCGAAGTGGATGACTGCCACAAAGCTGTGCTGCGGGGGCACAGGTGGGTCAGAGGTGGCTCTAAGGCCCTGGGCGGTGTCCCCTGCCTGCTTGCCTGCCTACGAAGCCCTCACCTTCTTGAAGAGACATTGTAGGGCTGCTTGGTCCAAGATGTCCATTTCCTCAAATTCCACAGAGCGGCCTGTCAGCTCCTGCACCCGCCGAAGGCTCTCAGGCATGGAGCCCCCTCCTGGTTGGGCACATGGAGGCCATCAAAATCAGAGAAGATGGGATCCAGGGATTAGCTAGACAGACAGGGGCAGACACACACACACACATCCCTCTGTGGTGTAGGTGGAACCCAGGGTTTCCTTTTGCCATTTTCTCAAGAAGCCCCAGCCGCCGACCACCCCACACTCACCCCGGATGGCATTATGGAAGTTGTCGATGACCACGGGTGAGTAGCCTGCCTCCAGCAACTCCAGCACTGTGTGGCTGCCGATGTAGCCAGCCCCACCTGTTACCAGCACCTTCTCTGCCATTGCACCTGGCCAGGACACAAAATCCAGGGGTGACTGAGACTGTTGACTCTGGGCCTCCTAACTAGAGGCTGGCCCCGTGAGCTCACCTCGGAAGAAGGCAGCAGTGTGTCCTAACTAAACGGGTGGCTCAGGAATCAGCCCTGGTTGAGTCAGCCCTGGTTCAAGTCTCCGTACCTTCACCTTCTTGCCGTAGGCCTAGGGCGGCTCACTTATCCTTTCTTGGCCTCAGTTTTCATTTTTATGAGATGGAGCTAATAACTGTACTACTTCACATGGTGGTGTGAGAGTTAAATGAGGTGATTCAAAAGCCCTGCTACACGGTACAGGTAAGGAGACTGACACACACAGGTGCCATATTTCTGGCCTAAGATTGGGAAGATGGAATATGAAGACAGAACCTGAGGATCTTCCCTAGGTTGCCTGGGCAGAAGGAAACGTGGCAGCAGGACTGGGACTCCAGGAGCCAGAGGGAAGGGGTTCTGTCTGCTCAAACAGCCTTCCTAGTCCCTCTGCCAGGACTCTGGGTAAACAGGCCTTTCAGTTCAGTGACTAATACCTCCCGCTCCAGGCAGCCCTCCTGTCTCCTTCTCCCTCGAGGGTCAGCTGAAAGGAAAAGAAAATATACAGATGGCCTCAAGGTGGGTCCTCTGGCAGGCAGGGTGAGACCAGCTTTAGGGCTGCAGTACCACAGTCCTGGAGTGGACCCCACCCCACCCCACACCACACCAGGGACAGCCAGGCTGGCAGCCTCTGCCCATGCCAGTACTGAGCAGGGCTGGGCCCCATCACTCCAGGCTTGGAGCTAGGGATCTCGCCGAACTTTAGGCCGAACTGGGTAGGCGTGTATACGTGGCCTTCGCCGCGTCTCCACTACCAGGTGTGTACCTCCGCCCTGAGCAAACACTGCGGAGCAGAGGGGCGGAGAGAGGAAGCCCCAGACACTGAGGCCTTTCATTCCAGCGTGTCTGGCCTGCAGCCGCCTTCCTCCATCCAGGCTGCCACAATCTCCCTCTCAGCTCATCCAGCTCCAACCTATTTGATTGAGGCCCGCTGAGCACCAGGCTCTGTACTGAGCACTTTTGCATTAATTTTCTGGATTCCGCAATGTCCTGAGGAGGCAGATGTGATTACAGAGAAGGCTATTGAGGGTCAGAGACGTGAAGTAATTTGCCTGAGGTTAAACAGCTAGTTAAATAGCTTGGTTGAAATCCGGATCTCCAAGATCGCAGCCCGGTCTCTCTCCCCAAGCAGTTCTCTCTTCCCCCCCCCCCCCCCCCACCCCCGCTTCCGCTGGACTCTGCGCTGCTCCGGACGCTGCAGCAACTCTACCCACCCCACCAAGCTCTACCCACTGTTCAGAACCCTGGAAAGTGGCTGGAGAGGGGCCCTGGGAGACAGGAAGCCTGGCTTGAGGTTGGTCTCGCCCCGGACCCGCCCGCTTGGTGTCTTTGGCCCGCTGCCGTCGCCTCAGTTTTCCTAGTCTGTATAATGGAGAGGAAGGGGCGTTGGGTCGTAAGCGCTCGAGTGCAGCTGAGTCTCGGGCTGGGAATCGGGCCACGGCTCGGAGGGGCCAAGCGAGGAGTCCTCAGGCCGGGAATGAATGAACCCGGGCCACCCTAGCCAAGGCGGCAGGCAACTGGGAGCAGAGGGGGCGGGCCCGCCCTGGCCGGACTCTGCCCAGTACACGGCAAGGGCCCCACAGAAGCTCTTCCCTCGCTTCCCGCGGACCACCCGCCCCTCCCCTAGCCCACATGCCCACTCAGTCCACCTCCCGAACCTACTCAGTATCCCACGCCCGGCGCTGGCTCCAGTGGCGCTGCCTCCCGCGCTCCGAGTGGTGGTTCCTTTAAAAGCCGACAGTCCACCCAGGTCCTGCCCCTTTCCACGCCCCCAAGTAGACGTGTCATGTGGGCTGCGGCTTCTACGGAGAAACCGGGAGAACAAAAAGGTCGCTGCAGTTAACAAGGGGCCTGTGTGTCGCACTGTCGCAGACCGAGGAAGCGCACGGTACCATCCCCATAACCAGGGCGGTTAGCGGAGGAAAGGCGTGGCTCGGATTATCGTGCCCGTGACTGGAGGGGCAAAGGTCCGCTCGCTGGCCAAGCCCTCAGATCTCCGCGCAAGCGCGATCGCTCGCTTTATTCCCCAGGAGCAGGCGAAGGGCAGGAAGGAAGGCGATCAGGACCCTCGGGGCCGCTCGGCAGCTGTTAAGCAGCAGGAACGACAAGGTCGGGGGCGGGGCTGACGAGCCCCTGGCCCCAAGGTAACCAGAGGTTTTCAAACTTTTTTGTATTTGCCAAACTCATTCCTCAAATTAAGTCTTGCGTGAAGTATGCGACTATGTGGAACAAAGGCAAAAGGGAGCTGCGCTGATTGAAGCGGGGGGTGGGGGTCGCTCTCCCCCTACCCAGAGGCTCCTGGTCCTGGGAAGTCTCCTTTGAAAGACACCTCGAAAGCTAAAATAGGCGTTACAGTGCTAAGTGCTCTCGGCCCTCACACGAACTGTGCCCCTCTATCTGCTAGAGAGGATTGCTTCTTGCCTACCGTAATAGGTTAGAAAATGATTGTATGCTTCTGCTCAAAAGAAAAGTAGGGCTAGAATGATGTGTAAAAAGTTGTGCCACATTGAGTGATGAGACCTGAGCACAGAAGTACACAGGCGTTTCCTCAGCCTGGAGTGCCCTCCCTGGCCCGGGTCCAGCAAGAATGACTGACAGACCCCAGAGCCTAAGGTACAGAGAAGTGAGCGCTCCAGCTAGCAAGCCAGACTGCTGGCCAGGCCTGCCCAGGCCGAGGGGACCAAGTGCCGGCTGCAGCCCACCAGGAAGCTTGTGTAAGTGCCCTGGCTCAGAGGCAGGAGCCTCAGAAACCTTCTCTTGGGGTGTTCTGGCAGCCAGTGCTGCAGGCATTCTCCTGAGACCAAAGCTCACTGACTTCCAGTCACTATGAATTTGAGGTTCAGGTGAGTAAACAGGGAAGAAACCAAATGATTAATAAACTGCTTCAAAGTCTCCATTTTCCCATCAGAGTGCAACATTGTAAAGACATTTTATTCCCCAACAGTCTCCCTCAGTCTCACATACACACACACCTGCACAACAGAATACTGGGATGGTTCTGCTGTCATTAAACCTTTAATTACATAAGCTGTTTTCAAAAATCACATTCAGAGTGGAGAGCATCACCCATGAGAATTTCCAACGGTGCTCGAGTTGGCAGTTGGCCACCCCACGGCCATGTCCCTTTGCTCTAAGAAGTCAGAGAGCAATGGCCCCAAGGCCAGAGCAGGGTCAAGCTGTGTAGAGGGTAGCTAGCTGGTAGCTTTCACCCAGAGAGGGGGCTCTCAGATCAGCCCAAGCCAAGGACCTGGACTCCCAAGTGCCCTCAGTGGACACATTCAACTGCTGGGTCCACAGTGAAGGGACATATTCAGCCCCCAAAGCCTCTTACTCAGGTCCGGGAGGGAGGGCTGAGGCCAAGTGGCTCCTTCTGCTCCTCTCCTCCTTTCTGTGAGGTACCTGCTTTTTTCAATTTCATTTCCATTTCCATACCCCTGTCCGTGATTCATCCATGCATGCCCTACTCCCATACGGTCCCCAGAACTTTGGGTGGCCAAGGAGCTCAGAGTTTACAGGTGGCCTGAGCCACTTTGGAGCTGGTTTTTCTGTTCAGGGCCTGACAGATAAAGGTCCCAGCTTCCAGGAGCTTCTGGAGGTTCACACCCTTTGAGAAACAAGTTAGAGAAAGCAGTAAGTCATGACATGCCCTCCACACCCAGAGAAACATCAGACTGGACAGGCAGTTGGGATACTGGAGAAGCAAAGGTGAAGACAAACAGGTTCTTGTTCCTCTTGACAGTGGGACACGGGCTACCTGTGAGACCGTGTCCTTCTGACATCTGGGGTTAGCCTCTGACTCCCCATTGTATAAGAGGTTCCAATCTGTGCAATGGTTTACAGTTCCACTGCGAGGGCAGCGGGTAGCATCAGTCTTGTGCAGTACTCCACCTCAGGGCCTAAAGCAGGGCCTGGTCACAGTGGCCAAAAACTGCATATTGAAGTAAGGACTGTGAGGCAGAGAGAGGTAGGACTGAAAACATCAACCCGATGGCCAGGCCGAAAACCTCTGTTCATAACTGTAGCTCGTATTTAGTGATGCTCGGCTAAGACCTGTACATATGTTTCCTTACTTAATCTTTGTAACAGCCCTGAGATAGATGCTATTATTATTCCCATTTTGGAGGCTCAGAGAGGTGAAGTAATTTGTCTAAGGCCACAGAGCCTGTGAGTAGAGAGCTAGATTTTAAACGCAGTTCTGTCTGATCAAAGCACAGATGCCACATTGCTTCCATCCCATCACCGAAGGCCCTCACTGACTGGGCAGAGCCCATCGTGCTGTCCAATTCTACTGCCCTCGTTTTACAGAGAACAAAACAGGCCCAGAGAGAAGTGCCTCATTTCAGGGCATGGGCCTGACCGCTTTCAGGGCTTTTTCCTACACCCTGGTGCCTCCTAGAACTGAACTGTCAGAGTCATAGGAGAGCCTGGCTTTCTTGTTCCCAGCTCATGGCTTCGTTCAACCACATGCTGCCGCTTTAAAAACATAAAGACAGAACACCCCTACTCCCCTGGGACCCTTCCCCGCTTGACCCACTCCTCCACAAAAACAAAAATAAACCATCAGCTGCTGCCCTCGGGGTCCAGGCGGAGTTCTGATCAGTTCAGGGCTGTCGCCACCAGGGGGCAGGCTGGCTTACCGTGTGAATGCCCAGGCCGGTGAGCATGTAGACGAGGTCCTCTGTGGCCAAGTTTCCTGATGCCCCCTTTGCATAGGGACAGCCTCCAAGTCCTGCCACAGAAGAGTCCACGACACTCACTCCCATCTAAAAACATAAGGATGGTGAAACGTGGAGGATGGAGGACCAGGGCCTGCAAAGCTGGTCCTCACAAACCACCCAATTGTCTGCGGCCTGAAAGTTCACTGAGAGGTGTTCATTCCTTTGCCTTATTCTGTTGAAGTGAAAATCCCACTGAAAGAGGTGTTTCTCCTCTTCATTCCTGGAACAATGCGAGCGAGTCTTTTCTGTGTACAGTTTCCGCTGCCTGTAATGTCTTTCCTCCATTCCTTTCATGGCCGTCTCCTTGCCCTTTAGGTCTCAGCCTAAAAGCCACCTCCTCAGGGAGGCCCTTCCTGACCACCAACCTGACCCCTCTCACTGTGGAGACTCCACACTCCTGACGCTTGCCAGGAAACATTTACCGCAGCCCCCAGGCTACTGCCTAATAGATACCTCACACTTCACACATCAATAAAGCGAACTCCTGATCAGCCTGCCACACACCTGCTCCTTCCACAGGCTTCCTCACCACCGTCTCTGTCATCTGATTATAGCCTCCAAACTGGTTTCTCTGCTTCTGCCCCTGTCCTCCTACAGTCTGTTCTCCATTCAATAACCAGAGGGAACCTTTTAACGGGAAAAAATCTGATCATACCCTTCCCCCTCCTCTGCTCGAACCTGATAGCTCCCAGCTCATAGAAAGAACTGAAGTCCTACAGGGCCTTCCCAATCTGGCCTTGTGCACCCCGAGGTCCTCTCTACCACCCTCCCTTCGTTCATGCTGTGCCTGCCATATACCTCCTGCTGTTCCCTGAACACGGCAAGCACCGAGGTGTACCTGCTGTTCCCATGCCTGGGACACCCCCTATCCCAAGCCTGTGTATGGCCCACTCCCTTGCTTCTGTCAGGTCTCTCCCATATGTCACCTTCTCAGTGAGGCCACTCTATATAAAGTAGCTGGCCCACCTTAGTCTTACTAGGTGGTTCTGCCTGGTACCCTTTCCAACCACTTCACTCCTTTGCATCCTGCAAGCCTCGCTCAGGCCTCACCTCTCCTGGCAGAGCCTCTGTGACTGCCCCGGCTGGGACAAGGTGCCTCTCCAGGCATCCTCAACCCTGTGCTCTCCTCTCCTGGCATCTGTCATGATGCATAAAGATTAGCATGTAACCCCCTAACAGACAGATGTGGGCACTTTCAGGGCAGGGCCACATGTCTGTGTCCACCATGTTCAGCCCAGGGCCTGGTCAGGCATCAGTAAATGTTTGCTGAAAGAAGAAATCAAACCAAGCTGTCCTGCCCCACGCCCTTTGGGATAGTGGGGCACACCCTGATTACCTGCAGGGCCATCAAGATGTTGGCCAGGGCCTGTCCGTAGGTATCATGGCAGTGGACAGCCAGGGCAGCCACAGGCACCTCATGCATGACAGCGGACAGCATGTCCTTCATGACCCCTGGGGTGCCCACGCCAATGGTGTCCCCCAGGGAGATCTCATAACAGCCCATTGAGTACATCCTCTTGGCAACCTGGGGAAGCAAGCAGGCATTGGAGAACACCATGTTCCACCAGCCGGGGCCCGAGAGCTCAGGGGCGGGGGTCCTTGGCCTGGGCAGAGCACCTCCAGGGTGGGTATGAAGTGCTAAATTCCTATCAGCTCATAGGTGCCTCACAATTTAATCAGGAATAATCATCCTCATTCGACTGAGCCTTAAAGCAGCAGAGCCAGCACCATGGCAGGGCTTGTGGCTCCAAACCCTGTGGTTCCTCACCACCCATGTTTCTCAAACTCAGTCCTTCACTCACCACTTACATACATTGTCATTCCTAGGTGCTGGAACCAGGAAAATTGATTCTTTTCATGTAGCTTTAGCCTCGGCAACGAAAACCAAACCAAACCCATTGCTGCTGAGACGATTCTGACACATGGCGACCCCACTGTTACACAGCAGAACTGCTCCAAAGGGTATTCTTGGCTGTAATCTTTACAGAAGCAGATTGCCAGGACTTCCTTGCGCAGCACTGCTGGGTGAGTTTGCACCACCAACCTTTAGGTTTGCAGTTGACTGCAAACCACCTGTGCCACCCAGGGACCTATAACCTCAGCAATAAGACCTGTGAAATCATGGGTCTGAGGTACTAGTTATAAATTTTTAACAGAGGTACGTAACTATTGAAATTTTAGAAGTCCGTTTGCATACCCCTAAAATCACTGCAAGACTAGAGTGGTATAGGCCCCACCCAAGGAGACGCTGCCCCTGCCAGGCTGCTGGATAAGGCAGAGGAAGGATGGTACACACGGCCAGGTACACAGATGATACTCAGCAATGACATACCAGATAAAGGAAGCGCTGGCCCCTCCACCACTGCCCACACAGGCAGTATGAGGAGCAGGCAGCCTCTGTCAGGAGGCAGCAGGGGGAGTGGAAGGAGGAGCCCTCTGGAGTCATGTGATACCAGAGTCAGATCCCAGTTCTGCTGCTCACAGCCACAGGGCCTCGGGCAAGGGACTTAACCTTTCTAGAGTTTCCATTTCTGCTTCTGAAAAATGGTGATGACCCCTTGTAGGGCCACGACGAGGACTGGGGCGCTGGGAGGCAAGGACCTGGAGTACAGCACCACTCTCAACAGCACTGCTCTGGTTCCCATTCCCCATACCTGGATGTTACATGGGGCTGTGGGAAGGGCGAGTGGGCTGTCAGGTGGACAGAATCGGGTTTGAGCCTTGGTTTCACCATTTACAACCTGTGTAGCAAGTCATCTAGTCTCAGTTTCCTCAACTATAAAATGGAATAATACTACCAAATTTGCAGGGTGGTCTTGAGAACTAAATGACATAAGCTCTTGGGCTTCTCAAAATCATCTCCCGCACTGTGCTCCTCTCAGTGTTGACCTGGTCACTGTGCCAAGGGCGTCAAGGGTTTGGCCCCTCCAACCAAGAACTGTGGGAATCCCTCCTCAGAGGTCTACACACAGTAGATGCTTAATTATCACCTGCTGATTGACCACAACTGAAAACGGAATCAGAGGCTTTTCCTCTGGGGTAGAGGATGAGCTTCAAAGACTACATGCCTGGCCAGGAGGTGGCTTCCAGGGAGCAAGTTCAGGGTTGTGCACACAGGAGGACTTAATAAAGGAGCTGGGTGAATGAAGGACATCAGTGACCCAGTAGGAAAGGGTGGGAAGAGGAATCTCTATACTTAGGGGTAGGCAAGTCAGCCAAAACCCCGGCCCCAACAGACACACACCTCAGCTACTTTAGCCAGGGAGATCTTTCCTTCGTAGGGGCATCCAAGCACGCAGGAGACGTACCTGCGGGAAGACAGGGAAGGAATGAAGTCAGTGCCCCTGAGCTCTCTGGCCAGCAGGGCTGAGGCCAGGTGGCTGTTTGACACTCATCCCTGGTTGGCCTGCAGTCACAAAACCTGAAGCTGGGTGGGAGGCAAAAACCAAAAAACCAAACCGGTTGTCGTTGAGTCGAATCCGACTCATGGAGGCCCTATGTGCCACCTACAGCCTTGGGCGGGAGGCAAAGTGGGGTTGAAATTAGAGGTGAGGCCAGAACGCAGGTACTGCTGCTTAGCACCAGGAGGGGGCAGTAGAGACCCATGGCAGAGAAGGGAGGGGGCCTAACAGGCCTGTATTTCAGCAAGTAGGAGCTGCTTAGGCCTCAGGAGAGCCAGCCAAGGATTTACAATAAGAGTCAAAGACCAACCAAGAAGGAAAAGCTAGAGAGGGCAATACGAGCAGGCACCTGAGCTGTATGGCGCTGAGGTAAAGCGGAACCAGGCACCAAGGTAGCTGGGGCTGGCACTCATAGGAGGAGACCCAGGACTAGATGAAACCGAAGGCAGGAACAAGAGCTGGGTAGGATATGAGTCAGTAGTAGGCTGGACGGGCCTGAGGGCCAAAGGCTTAGCTGCTCCACTGAGTTGCCAGAGGATTCATTCATTCATCCAACTGATATTTACTGAGTTGCCTACTATGTGCCAGGCACTGGGCACAGAGCAGTGAGCAAGACTGATAAGGTCTCTACCCCCATGGAGCTGACTTCTAGTCAGGGAGAAAGCAAACAGACAGGCAATCAAATAAGTAGGATAATCCCAGAAACTGATGCACTATGAAGGAAAGAAAAGGAAAATGTGATAGGAACAACTGTTGTTGTCAGGTATCACTGAGTTGGCTCCAACTCATAGCGACCTTATGTGTAACAGAATGAAATGCTGCCTAGTCCTGCGCCATCCTCACAATCATTGTGATCTTTGAGCCTATTGTTGCAGTCACTGTGTCAGTCCAGCTCATTAAGGGGATCCTTCTTTTTAGCTGACCCTCTACTTTATCAAACATGATGTCCTTCTCCAGGGACTGGTCTCTCCTGATGACATGTCCAAAGTAAGTGAGACAAAGTACAGTGTGATGATCACTTGTGTGTGGCCTTTCCAGCCATGATCTTGTAACTCGCACCCAAGTGATTGGGCGGGACTATACAGATATGGTAATGGTAGCCTACCAAAGGGATTGGTCAGTTTTGCCATCCTGCTGGGCTTGAAATGAGCCACCCCAGAGGTGGGAAAGAGAAGATCCACCACCACCAAGAAAGAACATCCAGGAGCCAGCACATCCTTTGGATCCAAGATCCCTGCGCTGAGAAGCTCCTGGAAGCAGGAAAATGAGACAAGGAGTGAGCTGTAACCCTGAAGACAGTGAGAAGTTGTGGCAAGAGAGACCCGGCAGCAGAGATCCAGCAGGAGGAGACTGCACAGTGGGCTTCCTGGCCTATGGAGAGAGAACGGTGAGTGCCTTTGGGCAGAGGCCTAGGGCCAGGGAGAGGCTTGCCTACAAGCACGGCTGCGAAGAGGCTGTCCTTATGGAAGAAATGTATCCAGAGTGTTCCTAAGCCTAGATTGTAACTGTTACTTCCCTAATAAACCCCATAATCATTGAGTATTGTCTGTTGAGTTCTGTGTGGCCACTGCAAAGAATTAATGAACCCAGCAGAGAAGTAGAGGGACGGGTGGTGTCAGAATTGGTAAAGGTGGCGAACAGAGGAGGCATGTCTGACCTCTGCCTCATAGAAATCAGCCTTAAGCTGTTGATCTTGATCCTCCTTCCCTCTTGTGAAGTTAGAGGAGGTCCGAAACTGCTCCAAGCCATTCTGAAAGGAAGTCTCACCATCCTCACCATCCTCACTTCTAAGGAGCATTCCGGCTGTACTTCTTCCAAGAAAGATTTTTTCGTTCTTCTGGAGTCCATGGCATATTCAATATTTTTCGCCAACGCCATAATTCAAATGCATCCATTCTTCTTCGGTCTTCCTTTTTTATTGTCCAGCTTTCGCATGCATATGAAGCAAATGAAAATATCATGGCTCGGGTCACGTGCACCTCACTTAGTCAGCTTTGCTTTTAACACTTTGAAGAGATCTTCTGCAGCAGATTTGCCCAATATAATATGTCATTTGACTTCCTGACTGCTACTTCCACGGACATTTGATTGTTGATCCAAGAAGAAAGAAATCCTTGACAACTTCAATTTCTTCACCATTTATCATGATGCTGTTTATTGGTCCAGCTGTAAAGATTTTCATTTTATGTCGAGGTGCAATCCATGATGAAGGCTGTAGTCTGTTACCTTCATCAGTAACTGCTACAAGTCCCTTTCACTTTTGGCAAACAAGGTTGTGTCATCTGCATATTGAAGGTTGTTAACGAGTCTTCCTCCAATCCTGATGTTGCATTTTTCTTCATATAGCCCAGCTTCTTGGATTATTTGTTCAGCATATAGACTGAATAAGTAAAGTGAAAGAATACAACACTGCCACACACCTTTTTCAATTTGAAACCAGGCAGTATCCCCTTCTTCTGTTTGATCCGTGTACAGGCTTCGCATGAGCACAATTAAGTGTTCTGGAATTCCCATTCTTTGCAATACTATCCATAACTTGCTATGATCCACACAGTTGAATGCCTTCAAGAAGTCGATAAAACACAGATAAACAACTTTCTGGCACACTCTGCTTTCGGCCAAGAACCATCTGATATCAGCAGTGATATCCCTCATTTCATGTCCTCCTCTGAATTTCTCTTTAACTTCTGGCAGTCCCCTGTCGATGTATGGCTGCAGCCGTTTCTGAATTATCTTCAGCAGAATTTTGCTAGCATGTAAAATAAATGATATTGTTCGATAACTTCCACATTCTCTTTGATCACCTTTCTTTGGAATGGGCATGAATATGGATCTCTTCCAGTTGGTTGGCCAGGTAGCTGTCTCCTAAATTTCTTGCCATAGATAAGTAAGTACTTCCAGCACTGCATCTGTGTGTTGAAGTATCTAAATTGGTATTCCATAAATTCCTGGAGCCTTGTTTTTCACCAGTGCTTTCAGCAACTAGAGGAGGCCTACAGTAGCTAGGACATGACACTGCTGCTGAGAGAAGGGAGATGATCTGCAGGAAGAGCATTCAAGGCCGAGAGATGAGCATATGTAAAGGTCCTGAGGTGGAAAAGGGCTGGGTGTGCTCAAGACACAGAACAGCTGAGGCACAGACAGCAATGGGCAGAGAAGCACAAGCTGAGGTTGGAGAGGTGGGCAGGGGCCTGATTATGGGGTCTTATAGGCTATGGTAATGAGTTTAGATGTAGCCGGCTTCTATTTCCACACATCCCATCAGAGCCAAGGCACCTTTAAAACCCTTTAGAGTCTAGCAAAGTACTTTGCATATTAAGAGGTATGAAATTTTTTGCTGGATAAATAATTTCAGACTCAAAGATCTCAGTGTACTTTTCCATTTTAATTCTCCCACTTATTCTCCAAACACTGCTGAGCAAGGAAAATATGAGATATTAAGAAAACAGCACAGGCTTGGGAGTCAGGTAATCTTAGTCTCCTTGGACTGATCTGCACAGGAGCACACCAGGGACTGAGAGAGACGCAGGCTCTGCCCTCGAGGTGACGGGAGAACTTAACAAGCAGCTAAGTGCTATGGTGGAGGATGTCCATGGAACTATGGGATCCCAGGGGAGGTGCACTAATTCCAACTAAGAGACCAGGAAAGCTGCTTAGAGGAAATGGCATCCACAAGAAGACCTGAAGAGTGAGCAGGAGTAGAACGTAGGAGGAAGAGTGTCTGAGTCTATGGAAAGCACGTGCAAAGGCCCAGAGGCAAGAGAGCAAGAAGGCATGTGCCAAACTGAAAGACATTCCAGTTGGGCTGGACTGTGGCCCGCAGAAGAAGCAGTGGCCAGTGGGGCGCAGTGAACAATGAGGCTGTAGAGAGCAGCCGGGGTTGAATCCCGCAGGGCCTTGCAAACCATGTGGAAAAGTCTGAACTTGGGGAGTCAATGAAAAATTTTTAACCAGGGAAGAGATGTGATCAGATACGCACTTTTGAGAGATCACCTGGTTGCAATCTGGAAAACTGTATGACCTTAAAGTAGCTATTCATACTCTCTGAGCCTCAGTTGTGTCATCTCTAAAGTGGGGACAGCCCTCTCCTTGCTGGACTGTTGTGTGGTTTAAGTTAGATAATGCATGTACAGTAGCTGGCACTGTCGCTGTTAAAGATGCGATACTGGAAACTTAAAGGCCTAAGGCAGTCTTCAAGGACATGTGAGGAGTTGCTGGTGAAGGCATGACCACACTAACCTCACAAGCCCCATTTAGCGTCTTACCTTGCCAAATTCCTCTTCACACCCCTCCCCAGTGAACTAACCCAAAACTCAGGCTTGAGAGAAAGCACTTGCTAGGATTTCTTCTGACCACACTTAGTTGGGCTGCCCAGTGCAGGATAAGGAGTGTGTGCGTGGGAGGGTCCCTTGACTGAGAACCTAGCCCCATTCCAGCATGGTTTTGAGGAAAAGATAGGCAGCACCAAAGTGGTCTGACTCACCCCCGCACAGGAATGCTGAGAGCCTGAGCTGCCTTTAAGACTTCGTCAAACCGCTGCAAACTCTCGTCGATGGAGCAGTTGATGTTCTTCCGAGTGAAGAGCTCCGAGGCAGCTCCAAAGACCGACACTTCCTTGGCCCCAGCAGCAACCTGCCACAGCCAGGTGAATTCCTTTCAGTATTTTTCTCATCAGAGACACTGACACAGAGGCCAAAAAACCCTTGTCTGGTGGTGAATTTTATGGTATATGAATTATATTGCAATGAAAAGAAAAAACCCCTGTTCTTTCCCCAAGGAAACTGCCCACCACCACACTGGAAACCACTCTTGAAAGAAGGCTTCTGCCTAAATGCAGAAGCAACATCTCCAATGGCGTTCTTGTCTGGAATCTTAAGAAAGTGGACAGATACCAGCAACTACTGTTGAAGCTCTTGTTGAGAGCTTCGTTACCTTTCTCCAGAGAGGAAGTGGGTAATAAAAACAAGAGCTAACATTTATTAGGCATTCACCTTATAGTAGGCTCTTGTTAAGCAATTTATATGCATTCTACGTTCTGAAATCCTCACAACTTTAGGTACTACTATTAGACCTATTTTATAGGCAGAAACTGAGGCTCAGAGAGGTTCAGTAACTTGTTAAGATCACAGAGCTGGGAGTAGCAGAACCAGGACTGCTCTGGGTCTATCTGATGGTGCTCTTCATCACTGGAGACAGCTGTTCAGACAGACATCCCAAGACAGGGGACAGAAGTCCAGACAAGGCAAGGACAAATGCAATCAATCTCATTTCAGGAGCCCCCCGCCCCAAGCAATCCTCTTACCGCAGTCTGGAAGCCTTTGAGATTTGGGATCAGAACTGGGTAGTTGATACCAGGAAACGTCTGAATGCCCTTTAAGACTTCAGCATGGTCAGCCATCTGGGAGCCAAAGGAGACATCGCCAAGTCATCACTGAGGGCAGTCAGAGAGCTTGGTCAGAGAAAACCTTTTTATCACAAAATCTCTGTTCTCCAGAACACTTGGAGAGTAAGTCCTTTGCATAGCTGAGTCTCCCCAAGGGCTAGAAAGCCCCTAGGTTTGGGTGATGCCCCCAACTTCTCCATATGGCCAAAACCACCAGCTTTACATAAGCAGTAATAATACTACCAGCCATTTACTGAGAACGTTCTCTGAGCCAGGCACTAGGCTCAACCCTCCTTCTGTTATCTAACGTTCATTTTTTTAACAGGGTCTTTCTTCCCCACTTGACCACCTCTGTGAAGCGGGAGTCATCAGTCTTTCCCTTTTACACGTGCAGAAACCAGAAACAGATATACAGATTCTAGACTGTTAGAGCCAAAGAGACCTGAAAGGCCATTTCCAATTGGGGGGGCGGGGGCGGGGAAGACCTCTCCAAGGTCACCAAGCAAGTCAGGGACGGAGGCAAGATCAGCTCTAGGCCTCCTGACTCCCAGTCTATGTTCCTTTTGCTGTGCCATACTGCTATGAATGACCTGAGACCTCTCAAAGCCAGGGACCCAGAACCCTATGTTCCCAACTTCTACTTACTTCTAAGGCAAATGCAAAACTTCCCATCCCTTTTATCTGAGAAATGCCTCTCACTGAGGGCTGGGGCTCACCTGGGGAACCCACTTGGGAGACACAAAACTGGTAGCTTCTATAACGGGGAGTCCCGCTTCAGAAAGCATGTCTATCAACTTGATTTTCACTGGAGTCGGTACAAAATTCTATAATGGAGAGAGAAACATCAGAAAAAAGACAGGTCGGCAGAGCTGGGGAAAAAATGGTCTCAGATGCAGTGTGTGTCAGTTCAAAGTTCCTAAGCCATGTGACTGTGCTTTTGCTACATCAAGCAGCTCACTTTCTTCTCAACCTCAGAACAGTGACACGAAGTCACATGTAATCCCCACCAATAGTGTGGTACAAGGCTCGTCTTCAGGTTCTAAAGACAGCAGTTTGCAGTGGAGGCAGCTTCTCACCTGGAAAGGAGTTAATATTTACATGGAAACAATCTTTTTCTGCCATGCAGACTTTTCCTTAACTGTGTGTTAATATATGGCCCATCATAAACAAATCGGGAGCAATGTGCTGTGACCTGAAAGGCGCAGACATGATGTACCGTGGGTTCTTTGGAATGGCACCCCCAAAGTATCATACCTTCCCCTTTTCCATCTCCCAACTTAGCTGGGACCTTGTCTTCGCACGCTCAGCCTATGGGTTCTCTCCCTTCCTCCTCCACCACGTCCTTGCCACTCATCAGATTTATGGACTCCTTTCCAAATCTACTGCCACTATCCTGTGCACACTGTGGCAAAACAGGTCTAACTGATCTCATCGCCTCCCAGGGTCTCACTCCACCAATTCATCCCACATGGGAATCCTCCTAAAAGGCGGTCTCTGTTGTCTCACTCTCCTGCTCAAAAGCCTTGCATGGCTCCCTAGTACCCACAGGATTAAGTCAAAATTCCTAAGAACTCCAAGTCCTTCTCACCAGGCCCTTCCACCCTCTGTCTCTCCAATTTCTTTCCCACTGTTTTAACTTAATCCATTCCACAAATAATTTTTGAGAGCCTTTTATGTTCCAGGCATTGTGCTAGGTCCTGGGATACAGAAATGAGCAGAAAAGACATGGTTCCGCCCTCATAGGGCTTACAGTTTATTGTTTCCAACAAGTACTCACTATTAAATCTAGGCTGGTCATACTTAGATTTAAAAAAAGAAAAAGAAAAAGCTTGTCTTATTGAAAAAATAATCCATATATGATTATTTCAGAAAAACATGCCAAAAACCAAAGAAAATCTCCCTTGAAACCTCCCAGACACAGCTATCAAGGCCTCCACCAGACTGAGTCCAGTACAGCCAGATGGTGCCTGGCTACCACCACGGACTGCTCTGACCAGGATCACAATAGAGGGTTCTGGACAGAGCTGGAGAAGGATGTAGAACAAAATTCTAACACACAAAAAACAGACCAGATTTACTGGTCTGAAAGAGGCTGGAGAAACCCCGAGAGTATGGCCCCCAGACACCCTTTTAGCTCAGTGGTGAACTCACTTCCGAGGTTCACCATTCAGCTGGGGATTGGACAGCCCCATAAAACAAAATGGGACTGATGAGGCACAGCAGTCCAGGGACAAGGACAAGAAGGCAGGAGGGGACAGGAAAGCTGGTGATAGGGAGCCCAAGGTTGGGTAAGGATAGTATTGCCATGTAGTGGGGTTGTTAACCACTGTCATAGGGCAACATGTGTACTAACTGTTTAATGAGAAACTATTTTGTTCTGTAAACCTTCATCTAAAGTGAGAATAGCAGCACAACTGAAGAACGTAATCGATGTCACTGAATCCTGCATGTAGAAATTTCTGAAATTTGAATTGGTGTACCTTTGGCTATGTATATTATCACCAAAAAAAAAAAAAGGTTGAGAAGGGAGAGGTTGACATGTTGAGAGGTTGTTAACCAATGTCATAAAACAATCTGTGTACTGACTGTTTAATGAGAAACTATTTGTTCTGTTAACCTTCACCTAAAGTACAATTAAAAAAAAAACAAAAACAAAAAACCTCCCAGAGACAGGGGGAGGGGGAAGTTTTTGTTTTGGGGGCATTAAGAGAAAAAACAAAAACTCCCATAGAATACTGTTAAAACTTGGATATTAACTTTCTAGATCTGTACAGTCCAATAAAGTAGCCACTAGCCATATGTGGTTAATTAAATGTAAATTAGTTGAAAGCATATAAAAATAAAAATTCAGTTTCTAAACCACACAAGCCACATTTCAAGTGCTCAACAGCCATATGTGCCCAGGGGCTACCAAACTGGACAGTGCAGGTGTACAACCTTTTCATCGTGACAGAAAGTTCTATGGGGCAACACTCATCTAGATCCCTCTCTATGCAGATGCTCCCACACATACATAAACTTTTTTGTTTCTTACACAACTAAAATTTTAAAACATATATACTGTTTTATAACCTGCCTCAGTCACTTAACATACATCTATATTAACAGCTTCATAATGTTCCATTGTATGAAAAGTCCATAATGTATGTGACCTAACCCTCCCCACATTGAACATTTAGGTTGTTTCTAACTGTTCTGCTACTACCAGCAGGGTCATGAGGAACATCCCGAAGGCTAAAGCTCTGCATGTCAGGCCTTGCTCTGGATAAACTCTCCTTCCGGGACCTGCTGAATCAAAAGGCAAGCTTGCTTTCCAGCTGTGTTCAGTTTCTCATTCCTCTTGATATACTCTGCTGATGCCCTATACCTGAAATGCCTTTTCCATGCTCTGCCTACTCAAACCCTATCCTCCTTTACCTTCACCTTATGCTCCCGCAGCACTCGCCGTCCTGGGCCTTGGGATGGACCTGGTGGCACCACACCTGTTGCACGGCCATCTTAGGTGGTCTGTCCCGGGTGCCCACCTGGCCTCCCCGACTCTGCACTAAGTTCTTCCAAAGCAGTGATCATGTCTTGCATAGCTCAGTCCACCCCCGCTGCACCTACCACATGGACCACTCAAAGGAGATGCTCGAAAAACCCTTTTTGGTTTTATTCCATCTTTACCTTTTCATTCTGTAGTCCATCTCGGGGGCCAACTTCCACAATTTTCACTCGCTTTGGAAGAGTGCCTACAGTTGAGGTGCTGACCTTCAGTTTAAAAGAGGAAACAAAAAGTAATAGGAAGAGATTGTCATATTTCTCCAGGGAGCACAAATCTGAAAGAATGGATCCATCTTTACTAATACTAAGAAGCATTCTTTCTCACCTGTTTAATTCACAATTTGGTCTGTTTTAGAATTAAGAATAAAAAGAATATTTCATTCTAGAAACAGGAATGAGCACGAGAGTCGTGCCTCCAGTACAGACTGTCCTCTGGAGTTGAGACTCATGTTTCCAGCTGCTGGTAGGACAGGTATGACAGCTCCACTGCACCTCTCACAAGCCATCGAAAACTTCGCAGTCGCCAAACCGACTCTTCAGTTTCTCCCAAAGCCCAGTCTGACTCCATCCTTTCTAGCTCAGTGAAAGGCATTACCTTGCACCCTGTTGCTTGAGCCACACACCTCACTCATCCCCTTCCTCATTCACCATGGCCTATAAGGCTCTGCATGATCTGGCTTCTGCCAACCTGTGACCTCATCACTTGTTCCTACTGCCCCAGCCCCTCCTCCTGTGGGGCCACTATGCCATAGTCCCACAGACCTTCTCTCTCCCACAGCAGGGCCTCTGGTGACTGTTCCTATTGCCTGGAATGCTCTTCTTGTCTGGCTCCCTCTTATCCTTCAGACTCAAAGAGGCCTCCTCTGACCACCCTTGCAAAGCAGCTTCCACCTGATTATTCTCTATTTCAGGACTACAACCATTTCCTTTAGAGCACTAAGAAGAATGCCTCCTCAATGTTTCCTCCATTTGAATACAGGAAGCTCAGTGAGGGACCCTGTCTGTCTTGATTTCCACTTCATCTCTCGTGCTTGGCACTGAGCTTGGTACAAAGTAAGCACTCATTAAAAATTACTGAAACAGGACTTCTGGGCAACATGGCGCTATAGTCAGAAGCACCACGCTGTCCGTCTGCATCAAAGATCAGAAAAACTAAGTCAAACAGAGTCACACGTCAATCCTGAAACCCTAAGCATCAAATGAAGAGATAAAGAACTCAGCCAAGCACCGAATGGAATAAGAAACTGACTGAGAATAGAGCATGAGGAGAGATACATGCAGAGGTCCCCTATCAGCTACCACAGCACGGGTCCGCCATCTTGGACTCCTATTGGAGATCGGCAAACAGGAGTTACAAGAAAGCAGCTTCAGGGAGCTTCCAGCAGGAGACAGAACAACCGGTAACCCACGATATAGGCTTTCCCACCCCCCAACCTTCTTCACCCCCACTTAGCCTCCTCCGCTTCCTGCAGCCACAGTCTATTGGCCGGGAAGCACGAGCTTCCCTCCAGAGCCGCTTGGATTCTACCCGCGTGCACTGGCCAGCTCCCTGAGTGCCATTTGTTGGCTGCTGGTGTTGCTTTTTTCTGCTTCTTTAGATTTGTTCCTTATCTCTCACCACCTCACCCTCCCTTCTCTCAAATACCTGGCTCCATGCGCCATCTTTGCTTCTTCCTGAAAGGCTGCGAAATACCGCTCAACTGTGAAACTGCTTCTCCGCCCGTGCTGCCATGCTCGTGGGACCCCTGGGGCTTTTTTGTTTGTTTGCTCTGATTTGTTCTATTTTGATTTGTTTGTTTTCTTTTTCTTTTCTTGGCTTGGGAGCCACTTCTAGGTACCGCGCAGCTTGGAAGTTAGTCCCTTACTCTGCGCAGACGCGCAGGGACATTCCTGGGGGTATTTCTTTTTTCTTTTTCTTCGTTTAGTTTTCTTCTCTTATTCCCTTTTTGTCCTTCTTCATTTCCAGTTTCTCAATTTATTCATTTTTTTCTTTTACCCTTTTCCTTTTTTTTTTCATTTTTGTTTTTCTCCATTTCTCAGTCTCTCATCTCTCCAACAGCAAGCTCATTTAGCATTCTTTTTTGTTTGTATGTTTTTGGCTCCTGTTCCTCTCTCCTCTCTCTCATCTTTCCCATACCCATCTTAGCTCCACATATCACAATCTACCCTCTCCTTCCTGCCCACCTGCACCGTGTGCTGAACATCACTCTCCCAAGCAGCACAGGCATGGCCTACTGGAACCTGCCCTGCACTGAAAAAAAAAAAAAAAAACTATAAAAAAAGAGAATTGTACATGTAGAAACTTTTGAAATGGTGTAACTTTGGTTATGTATATTTTCTCCAAAAAAAAAGGTCTTCAAGGTCGAGAAGGGAGAGTGTTGACATGTCGTGGGGTTGTTAACCAATGTCATACAACAATATGTGTACTGACTGTTTAATGAGAAACTATTTGTTCTATAAACTTTCATCTAATGTACAATAAAAAAAATTTAAAAAAAATTATTGAAACAACAAATACATGCATGAAGGGCACAGCAGTCCCAAAAACCAAAACCAAACCCGTTGAGTTGATTCCCACTCATAGTGACCTTATAGGGACAGAGTGGAACTGCCCCCTATGGTTTCCAAGGAGTGCCTGGTGGATTTGAACTGCCAACCTTTTGGTTAGCAGCTGTAGCTCTTAACCACTATGCCACCAGGTTTCCTATAGCTGTCCCAGAGGAGGGCAATTATTGGCTGTAGGGAAGCCTGGTTAGTCCTGAACTTCGTGTGTAGGGGGAGACTCTGTTCTATTACAATCATAGGCTGGCTGGTGACAAGAAGAGTGGGTCGGAGGGGAGATGACGCCCCTAGCAGCTGAAGACATTTAAAAAAAAAAAAAAAAGGCCTTCAGTTGCCTCTCTATAAAGTCTGCCCCAAAACTGCCTCTCCTTGCCACCAAGTAACATGAGGCTTATTTTCCCTCTTTGTCCTACCTTCTTAGTACTATAACTCTTCAAATGAATTTGTCTTACCAGATTTAATTGGGATTAACATCGCAATGGGGCAAAGGGTGAGGTGCACTGCTGCAACCTGCTAAGAATCCCAAACTCTCAAATCCTGAAACATCGAAGGAGGGAAATCGTCCTGGCTATGAGTCAGTTAGCTCGGCTGCTAACAGAAAGGCTGGAGGTTCAAGTCCACTGAGAGGCACCTCAGAAGAAAGGCCTGGTGATCTACTTTAGAAAAATCAGCCATTAAAAATCCTACGAAGCACAGTTCTACTCTGACTCACATGGGTTCTCCATGAGTTGGAACCGACCTGACGGCAACTGTTTTTTTATGAATCAGTTGGAACTTGAACAACTCACTTGAACTGGCCTTCCTAGAGACAAAGGTGATGGGCCATTAAACCTCATGAAGTCACCAGGCTAAGTTGGAAGGTCCCTGCAATGCGAATTTCCCACCAACAGGTATGTCCAGCCTCTGCTGGCACATTGCCCTAGAATTACCCTATTGAAATGTAAGCTTCATGAGGGCAGAGACTTTGTTTTATTCACTGCTGTGTCTGGAAACCCTGGTGGTGTAGTAGTTAAGAGTTCGGCTGCTAACCAAAAAGTTGGCAGTTTGAATCCACCAGGCGTTGCTTGGAAACCCTATGGGGCAGTTCCATTCTGTCCTATAGGGTCGCAATGAGTTTGCTTTGGTTTTTTTATGTCTTCAAGGCCCTGGGACAATGGTAGGGTTCAGTAACTATCTCTTGAATGTAGTTGAGAGAGGTAAAACCTGCTTCCAAGTTCCTTTTATTAGATTAGAATAAACTCATTTCCACTTCTGTCTTAAAAGCTGCCGTTAACAGAAATACAACAAGTGGATGGTTTTAATGAAGAGAAGTTTATTTCCTCACAGTCAAAGTAGGCTAAAAGTCCAAATTCAGGGTGTCACCTCCAGGGGAAGGCTTTTTCTCTTTGTCAGCCTTCTCATCAATGTTCCCCTGGACTAGGAGCTTCTTGGCGCAGGGACCTCAGTCCAAAGGACGCGCTCTACTCCCGGCGCTGCTTTCTTGATGGTATGAGGTCCCCCTGTCTCTCTGCTCACTTCTGTCTTTTATATCTCAAGAGATTGCCTCAGGACACAGTCCAGTCTTGTAGATCCAGTCCTGCCTTACTAACACAACTGCCACCCATCCTCCCTCATTAACATCATAGAGGCAGGTTTACAACATACAGGAAAATCACACAGTACCAGGAATCATGGCCTAGCCAAATTGATACACACGTTTTTTGGGGGACATAATTCAAACCATGACAACTTCCTTCCCCATAACAGCCCATCATATAATAACAACTGAAAGACAACACTCACATTTATCAGGCATTTAATAAACCCTGGTGGCATAGTGGTTAAGAGCTACAGCTGCTAACCAAAAGGTCAGCTGTTCGAATCCACCAGGCGCTCCTTGGAAACTCTATGGGGCAGTTCTACTGTGTCCTACAGGGTCACATTTAGTCAGAATCAACTCGATGGCAACGGGTTTTTTTGGTTTCAATATTTGCAGGTATTTATAACAGCCTTTTACATATTCACCTGTATTATCCTCTCAACAACCTTATTAGATAGGAACTACTATAATCTCTATTTTACTATCTGTGAGAAATCTGAGGCCCAAAGAGATCAAGTAACTTTCCCAAGGTCACAGGGCTAGCAAGTCACTAAGCCAAAATTTGAACCTGGCAGTGTGACTCTAGACGCTCCTAACTCCTAGGCCATGTTGCCTCTTTGCTACCCTTCAGTCCCCCAGTGGTCTGTAAACCACCCAAGTTCTTTCCCTCTGTAAAATTCTGCTCAGAGATGATCCCCTCTAACCACACAAGTCCTATGCCACAGTCTCCTGTGCTATAGTGTACCAATATCAATAACAACAGTTAATATTGACTAAAGACCAGTACTAACTACTGGGACTATCATCATCCCAACTCAGTGGAGGAAGAAATGAAGCCTCAGAAAGATTACCCAAAATTACACAGATAGGAAGTGATGGAGCTTGGATTTGAACCCAGGTCTGGTTCTGATACCAAGATTATGCTAGTAACCCCATGGGGACCTATCATCACCCACCTTATTACACCAGGAATTTTTTTCAAAGTACATCAATACCTACCATCTCATTTGATTTTCTTAACTTTCCAAGTTGGAATTACCATCTTTATATTGTTGTTGTTGTTAGCTACCATGAGTCAGTCCCTGACTCATGGAGACCCATGCACAAGGGGATCAGACCATTGTAATCCATAGGGTTTTCTTGGCTGCTTTTTTGGAAGTAGATCACCAGGCCTTTCTTCCTAGTCTGTCTTAGTCTGGAAGCTCTGCTGAAACCTGTTCAGCAACATAGCAACACGCAAGCCTCCAAAGACAGAGGGGTGGTGGCTGCACATGAGGTGTAGTGGCCACGAACTGAACCTGAGTCTTCCACATGGAAGGCAAGAATTCTACCACTGAACCACCACTGCCCCATCTTCATTGTACCCATGAGTAATTGGTGGAAGTAGGTGAGCTAGAAATGACATTAAAGTGGCTTTCTGAGAAGGGTACACTGCCAGGACAGTGTAATTTTTCCCACCATACAGCTCTATGGAAACCCTGCTGGCATAGTGGTTAAGATCTACAGCTGCTAACCAAAAGGCTGGCAGTTGGAATCCACCAGTAAGTAGCTCCTTGGAAACCCTATGGGGCAGTTTTACTCTGTCCTATAGCGTTACTGCAAGTTGGAATGGACTTGATGGCAACAAGTTATACAGCTCTAACTCATTCTAAACTCTATCCAAGGTAATAACATCACCACTGGTAGATCACTTACTAAGAGCCCCGGCAATGCCAGATGCTTTATCTACATTTTATTTAATCTCCAAAACAACCCTGAGATATAACAACAACAAAAAACCAACCCAAACTGACGGCCTTCTAGTCGAATTCCCACTCATAGTGACCCTATAGAATGGAGTTGAACTGCCCCATAGGGTTTCCAAGGCTGTGAATCATTACGGAAGCAGACTGCCGCATCTTTCTCCCACTGAGCGGCTGGTGGTTTACAGCCACTGACCTTTCCGGTTTAGCAGCCAAGCGCCTAACCTATTTCTAAAACCTGGGGTTCAGAGAGTAAATAACGATGTCCCTCGAC